TTGGTAGCGAGGCTTCGTGCCGGGTTCCAGTACAATCTTGAATGGCTCCACTTTGGCCATTCCCATCATCTTGTCATCTGTATGGAACAGATCGGCAAACTGTTCCAGGAAGGCTGAAAACTCCTCCACTTTATCCTGTGTACGAGCGTCACCAATATCGAATTGGGTAATCGGGACTTTAGGCCAAGAATAGTCCCAGTTGTCCATATCCAACTCATGGGCACCGTCCATTGCGACGGCCAGTCTGCGCTGCTGAAGGACTTGTCCACCACCAGTCTGCTGATGAAGAAGTGCCATCATGAATGCCTTCACTCTTGGCTGCAGCCTTGCCGCTTCCCGCTGGGCTGGGACTGTTGCTGCGGCACTGGTGACTTGCCCCTTGGGTTGCCCCTGTGACTGTCCGTTGCGGCCCACAGCGGTGCTGCCGAACTTGCCGGTGACCTTTGCCACTGCTGGTTGACCACGGCTAGACGTGGGCTGACCGGCACCGCTGCTGCTCTTCAATGTGGACATCCGCTTCAGCTGCTCCTCCTTGGACAGTCCGAGCGTTGATCGTTGCACTTCGGTGAGCCCCTTCGTCAACACGTAGTCGCTTGGTCCCAGCAACCTGTTGTTTGCAACATCAACCAATATGCCGGGTATACCGGTCACATTGCACCCAATCATTGCGTCATATTTGCCACTGTTGAACCCATCGAATACCTGGAATGGTATGGTTCCCATCAACCCACATACCTCCACTTCCAGGAAGACACGGCCAGTTGTGCGCACTACGCGGTTGTCGGCCATCGTGACCTCGACGCTTTCCGGCATCACTTCGCATCCCATGCCACGCACAAAGCTCGTGTTGACCACAGACAAGCTGGCACCGGTATCGACCAGTGCAGTAGCAGGTCGTCCGTTTATGCGAATGGGCATTATAGGTACTGACCCTGACATCTGTAGCGGTTCTTGTGCCGGTCCAAACGCCTTTGTGTCCGACTGCATCTCCGCCCTGTGGTGCTTCACGGTCATCATTGCAAATGTCTGCCATGGGTTCTGCCGACGCCCTCTTTGACGCTGCATACGTAGTCCTTGCTGATACCGATCAGCATACGTAGCTTCCGGATCATTGAAACTGAATACGCCGGTTGGTCTGATCCGGCTGGACACTGGTTGCCTTCGCGCTGTCCCTTGTCGTGATCCCTGTGCTGTCCCCTGTGCTGACCGTTCGCTGCGCCACGCGCTTCGGCGCCGATTTCCAGATCCACTGGGACCACTCCGATCCACCACATGGCTGTTGCGTACCCGAACAACAACATCGTGGTCCTGCAGTCGCTTCAGCGTCCTCCGTGGTCGCGGGACTTGGTGACGCTGCCAATCCACTGCGCCCAGACGCTCAAATACACTGCGACGTTGCTCTCCAATTGTGACGTGTACCACATGGACCACGCGGTGGCCACTCGGCTGGTGACCAACATCTCTGCTGTATGTCCCGTGACCTTGGATGCGGTGTCCCCTTGGGACGCTTCGACGACCTCCTCTGAGCTGAGCTGCTGCCGGTCCCAGCATGCACTGGACGTGCTGCTCCCACCGGGTGTTGGCCCGCATTGCGCCTCCATGCGCGCCTCCATGCGCGCCTCCATGCGCGCCTCCATGCGCGCCTCCATGCGCGGCTCCTTCGTCAGCCCGTTGTCGTCCGCTATCCATACACGCGCGCACATACGCTCGTTGTCCTGCACTGCTTTGAACATGCATGGCGTTATACATAAAGGATTCATTATCATGTAACGGCAGACTGTTCCAACCATAGAATCCGTTACTTGCCGTCTCCTTAACACCCCCAGGTGACCCGCCGGCAGCCGGTGACATTGCTGACAACGCTTCTCTTTCAAAGCGTCTGCCCGCTGTCCCAGCTGTGGCTCCGATCGTGGTGTTTCTTCCCGTTGCGCACCGTTCCGTAGTGCTAACTTCCGCTGCTTCGGTCACGATCATTGACCGGGCCTGTGCCGGTCCGGTGCCGCTAAACTTCGCTTTGTTCTTCGGGCAGTCCCTAATCAGATGGTCGGTGCTTTCACAGTTATAGCAACGCTTACCACTGACCGGCTTAGCGCCGCCTCTTCCGCCTGCGCCGCCGTTACCGCCGTGAACTCCGCGGCCGCCTCTGAACCTGCCGCCGCGCCATCCGCTGCCACTGCTGCCACCACTGTGGTCGCTGTTTCCGGCGCCGCTTGTGTCTGCACTTCCGTCCGCTTCTCTGCCGTGCCGCTTCCATTTGTTGAAGCGGTTGCTACCGTGCTGTGCGCCGCCTGCGCCACTTGATTCGGAGTGAGACGATTCACCACGACCGTCATTTCCGCGATTCTTCCGCTCCAAGCGGATCGCCTCCGAAACGCACTGAAGGTCGGACAGGAATGACATCGGCGTCTTCGCTTTGGACAGCGCGACACGTGACAGATACTCCGGCAGCAGCCCGTTGCGCAGCTTAGAAATGAGTGTCATCTTCCATGGCGCGGTTATATCTGTAACATAAAGTCACAATATCGTTATAGTAATCCTCCAGCGCTTCATCCCGTTTTTGCTTCCGTTGCGCAATTTGGATTTTCAGCTGGTTCTTGTAATCCTCGGTTTGGAAGCGCGTGGTTATTGCCGTCTTGAATTTCCGCCAGGTGTTGTATGGCTGTCTGGTGCCGTAATCGGTGACTCTGTCCCACCAGATAGCGGCAGTTGACGCCAGTAGGATGGACGCTTGTGTTATCTTCCGCTCGTCGTCCCAGCGCTGCGCCAGCGCCATCGTCTCGAAGCGTCGCAGCCACGCCACAACATCGTCCTTCGCGAGTCGCTGGAACAGCTCCAATGTCCGTGCTGGTCCGGCCAGGTGTAACGTGTCGAGTTCCGCCGCCAGCTCACGAGGACTGAGCAGTTGCGCGGTTCCCGTGCTTGATGATGTATGCGTTGCCGTCGTTATTGGCTGGCTGGTGTAGGTGGGCGTGTGGGTAGATGGAGTGGTTCCACTGGTGGACATTGTGGCAACCTACACGTAATTAGCAGAGAAACGGCAAGGTATTTACTCACGTTTCGTTCCGGACTGTGGACAACGTTGGGAACAAAGGGCAGATAAAACCACAAAATCAGCCTGATGATAATCCACAGTGTGTCACAACACACAGGAACACAATCACCAGAATATACCGCAATTTATTAGACTGAAAATTTCCGCTGCTGCGTATCGTATACACAGCAAAAACAGACGTACCGCGTATCAGGAATTAATGGCAATTATAAAAATCCCAAACTCCGTACGTTTCCTGAACTGGTTTCGGCACCAGTTTGTTACCCGTATCTTTACACGGCTACGTCTATGACCTTTACGATATCCCGTAACAACGATGTTTAGTCGTTTAATACCGTAAGCTGTATTCTGCACAGATCGTAAAGTGAGAATGATTCCATCATTTCCGCCAGAAGCACACTACCACAAAATGAGACCGTCTAGCCACATGCCAATGCATTCAGTTCACAACATTTCCAAGGACATTCCTCTCCGTTATCACACTTTCCAACATACCACCCAAGACTATCGATACACTTCCCATGACAAATGAAAGTTAGTTATGCAACAGCATGAACAACAGGTGCACGCGCCGGTCATGCGCATCCACGCATCAACACGCGACTGGCAGCGCGTTGTTAGTATATGCGGTTCCCCTTGGGAAGCGTTATCAGCGTTATGCGGCTAGCATGTTCATCGCGCTTCTATCCCTCCTTCTGAACGTGGCGCTGTTGATCGTGCACATGGTCCGCCCGTCGTATATCAACCACTTCACGGTGTATCTGCTCTTCCTCTACATCACCAACACGATCTACGTCATCGGAGCGTCGCCGCTGTTATTTCTTAGCGAAGTCTACACCGTCAGCATCGACTCCTTCGGCTTCGCGGTCTGCATGGCGTTCGGGTATTTCCAGTGGCTGATGCCGCAGTTCCCGGTCATCTGCCACTTGCTAATCGCCCTCAACCGATTGTGGGCGCTGCAATTCCCGCACCACTACCGCGTCTACCACACCAAGAAGCTGGCCACGCTCATCTGCCTGGTTAGCGTTGTATATGGGCACATTCTCAAACTGCCCGGCTTCATCCTGTACATGCCGCTGCCGTACCAACCGGCCCCCGGTGGCTCCGTGGTCTGTCGCGGTCCGCCCAATGCTTATCTCTTCTACATGAAATTCGACAGCGTCTTCAATCGATTTACTCCACTCTTCACTATCATAGCGATTTACGTGTACGTGATGATCAAGCATTTCAAGAAAAAATCACAGAAAATCCACAACAAGACCTGTGGTGTCATCAACAGCGTGCCAGAAACCGGTCCAAGAAAGCTAAAGAACGCACTGTTGTGCGGCCCTTTCTGATTTTGACACTGACGACAATCAGCGTGGTGGTGTGCTGGCTACCACTAGCGGCAGCGTTCTTCTACCAGTGGTTTGCCGATAAAAATCAAGCCACCACAGTCTTCACCATCGTGCAATATTTCCATACGTTATACATGATGCAAATCGTGTTTGATCCGATCATGTGGATTCTCAGCCTACGCAAACCCGGCGCACGCTGAAACCGTTTAGCTTCTGCTGCATAAGGCAATGATGTTTGCGTCACGATGCCGTATCTAGACCTTTATAATCACATCTAATTAGATATTTTTTGAGTAATTATATTAAGGCTGGCCAACAGGATCGATGTGATATTGTGAAGAAGTCTTTATCGAAGGAGCTTGTCGCAGTTCACCGAAAGTTAAAAGCGTGGAAAGTATTAGATTCTAGATGGTTTTGACCTTTAGTAATGGAAACGCTGGCAGTTTCGAACACATTTTCTTTTAACCCGAGAGAATATAGATTGTGGTAGCCTTTTATACATTGGAATTTCAGCTACATAATTATTTTCAAGTAGTGCTCTGTATACAAGCAGCACTGCGATGCTACCAGAAAATGCGCTCTGTCCATGTGGACCTTGCGTCCGCAAAGACTTGCTAATAGCTGCTGCTTTATTGCGAGCACGGTTGGTTAATGCCATCTTCCGCTATTGCCTATCAACCAGGACAGCCATATAGCCACAATTGTACTACCAATAACACCGTTTTATACTGCAAGGAGCAACGAGTATTACGGTTTTTTTGCGGCAGGCTCTATGCAGTTGAAATAGGCAATGAGCAGCTAACTCACTCCTGTGCGAGTCGAAAGAAGCCACTCTTCACAGATTAGTAATCTGTGAGGAGTGGCTTCTCCGTTCAATTGACGGTTATCACTTCTGCAACTTCTCTGCTCGCTGCCGCATTCAGTTAATTCTGGACAAAACCGAAGTTATTTTTTTGGCCACGTAATCTGCTTTTAACGAAATACGTAGAAGTTTGCTCAGTAAGATTAATAAGACTAATCAGCATTTTTGCTTGGGCACGTGCTCCGGTTTGGCAAAGTAGGTTCGACCCGACGGTCGGCCACCGCGGCCCTCCTTATTCTTCAAGCATTTCCCGTCCTTCCCGTTGACCACCGGCTTGGTGAAGCTCTTCAGCCGGCAGTTGCCGCCCATGTGGCTGACCCCGTCTGCCCCGATGGTGTACCCATTGCAGCCGCTGTACAGCGCGCACAGCATCCCGCACTCCTCCTCATTGACCCCGATGGCGCCGCCGTACGCCGTAAAGCTCCGCTCCTCTCCGGATTTGATCTCGGCCACATCGGAGCCCTCCACGGTCAGATCCTCGACCATGGTGTATTTGGGTGTGGGGATGTTAGCGTACAGTTGATGATGGTTGGATTTAAACGAGTAATTGTCGATGCTGGGTCCGCATTTGGCGCCCTTCTCCACGATCGCACAGGTGTCTTTCTTCACGTCGCTGTCGAAAACGGCGGCCAGACAATTGCGGTTCTTCTCGCACTTGGCGAAGCAGGCTTTCTGGTTTTCCTTCCCGGAGAATTTCAGCGGTGGATTGCAGACCATGCCGCGGGAGCCCAGATCAATGCCGGCTATAGTTAAAGGTCTTTTGATACACCAGAAATCAAAGCTGGTTTTGCTCGGCAAACGATTAAACTAGCAAATTTTAAACCCTTCATCGACTTCCATCAGCAGCTTTGCCACAAGACTCGTTATTAGCTTCTGACTCCTTCTACGTACCTTGCACAAATCCCACGCATCCCAAAACCAAACCGGCGACTACGAGGAAATAAAAAAAGAAGGCCGTAGAGTATTGTGCTGAAAATAAGTGGCATAAGTTTCCTCACCTATAAACTGAAGAAAGGTCGACATCCTAGCTGGGTTGCTGAAGCGTTGCAAAGGAAATATGTGCGAATAGTTTAAATGGTAAAATTAGCAACCGAGGGTGCGGTAGCGCTGAAACACTAACTGGCCGACAGTGCCTCGATACCACGTTGCAGCTGCAACTGAACAGTCCCGAAGCCGGCTGACAACTGACAAAAACGCTGCCATGAATCAGACTTAAATGCCGGCTTACTTCCTTCGTTACATAATAGCGCCCCATTTATATTAGTCAAGGCTTTTTGTGCTACAGCTGTCGCCGGAAGAAAAACCGAAGAGCAACCAGCAATTAAGAAAAAAATTATTGGCCATTTACTGGCATTGCTGCTGTACCCAAGACGATACAGCCACAAAACTTAACTGAAATTGCCATGATTGTGCGATGCGTTTAAGGCTCGCAAAACCGGTCTCTTTAGTCTTCATGCCATTGTTGGCAGATGGATCAAAACTAGTGGACCTATTAGTCATCACAGTCAGCGGCAATATCAGTAGATTTATGGCGATGTTTAATAATTGCCTAGTTATCTCACCATCTTTTTCACCGCGTTGCCTTGTTTTATAAGCCTGAAACTGATGTTGCGTAATACGCGCAAATATTTCCCATACTTCTATCCATGAACATCTGCGTATCATACTTGAAGTCCACACGTACAGATCAGCCCATTAAAACGTTTTTTAATCGCTATTTTCGTTGCCACAACATAACATAAGAATTTTGGCATTTCTTGAGATTCCCACCAAGCAAGTCGGTGTCGTGTCACAATCAACTGGCGACGGTTTAACCGCCACTGACGTATATGTACGCATTCGTAGACAAAAAAAACCAGCCAACCCCAAATTATTGATTGTGTTTGAAGTAAGTAAAGCCTGCCTAAAACCTCTTATTCGCTTGGACTCTCCGCCTGCCGTCAGCCGTACGGGACGTTCGTTTCCGGGACCCGTCTGACGTGGGGAGGAGTACACATCGTACGTCCGGATGCCCCGTTAATGTCCGCCTTTACCAGTAGATACAAACATCCGTGTTATTATCTAGTTATCTCGTTACCTGTGACCTGTGATTGGTTGTACCTAAATCCCTAGCGATGTATGTGATGTCAGAACTGCTAGTCTATATAAGCTTGAGTGAGGCCTAATATCAGAGCGGTCAGGAATTAGTGTTCTGATTTCTGATATTCTTACTTTTCTGACTTCCATGTGCCGAGGATTACGATGTGCATTGGATTAAAGGTCAGTATTTTCTAAAGGTTACCTAGAAGTTCGGGATTCGAGTCTAATCTTAGCTTTGGGTTGCCGCAGTATACTCGCGCCGCACAGGCCATCGCCTTTATCTAATCCACATAAGAACCGAGACCGGAAGTGAGAAGTAAGGCATTCGTTCGTGTTTCGCAGGGCTCCTGATAGGGATTCCTGGTTCCTGAGTTCGTACGCATACCTCCATCGATCCTCCAAGTTATTTCGCAGTACCAGTTTGGGATTCAAGAGTGCTCTACCGATTGAGATTTAGGCAGGGAAGAAGGCTACAACATTTCTCGTGCATACTAGTCTACCACGACATAGTGCTACCGGATGGTTGTAATCCCCCTTTCTAATACGACAGGTCTGTTCATCCTGACCAGAAGCCTGTTCGCGGAGCTGTTTTTCTCGAATTCACTTCACATTCGTTGGCCAGACAGCAAAGTATCGCATGTTATTTTAGCAAACAATTCAATGATGCTAACACAATGCATGCAGCTGAAAAGCTGTCCTGATATTTACAGAGCCACATTACAGTGCCATTTCCAGCAACCCCTGGCAGTTCTTCCGCCCATAGCGGCGGATACGTTCGCAGGTCAAAATAGTTAGTTACAACTTACAACTTGGCGTGGTTGCGAGTTGCTGCATTTGAATTTTGGACCGACGTCTTTTTCCAAAAGGAAAAACCGAGGGTAGAACGGAAAACCACAGAAAGTGTTATGATTTTACAGTTTTCGTCGTCAGTGCAGTATTTAAGTTCTAATTTCGACGATATTTTTGGTGACTGTTTGGCATGTGAGAAGCGAGCAAGAACGCTGCGATGCACCTGTACGAAGATGACGAGCATTTTCTGTACGCGTGGAACGCCGTCGACGTTCTGGTTGACGGAGTGCTGCAGCACGGCGAAGTGATGGACGTGGCGACTGGCGGCCTGATCATTGATTTTCGTTGTGCTTCGCAGCGAGCCCGCTTCATTAAATACGAACAGATCTTTCGCTTTATGTTGGAGCGTCCGAGCCGGCACTTTGTGATCGGGCGAAAGGCTAAGCAGCCTCAACAGGTGCTGCTGCGCCGCCCGTCCGACAGGGCCTGGATCTGGTATCCGGGAACGGTTGTCGATCTCGAATCCTACGGCAATAAGAACTACGAATGCGTGGAAGTGCACCTGCCCTACGGCATCATCAAGGAGCTGGTTCCCGGCATCCAGCTGCGTCCGCCGCCGACGGACGAGGATTTCGAGAGATGCCGCGTGGTGGAGATGGATTTTGTGGTGCGATGCAGTCCTCTGCCCGCGGACTACGGCGCAGACCCGTCCGATTTCTTCGAAAAGCTCTTCAAATGGCAGTTGGCGCGACTGTTCGGGCATCTCAGTTTCTCGCCGTTTTCAGACAGTTCGCTATCTGCAGTATGGGTATAACAGCCCATTACAATTTCAGCACGTGGTAAGTTTCTTGCACTGACAGTGGTTAAAGCACTGTAATGGACTCCCAGAAGCTTATCATATACTGTAAAGTCCGAATTAAACGCGGTGGGCCTTTATTGCCTCAAGAGCGTTGGCCGTTGTACAACAATCTGTAGTTATACTTATACACCACACAACCGCACACATCATCATTAATGCAGTATGGCTTTCTTGCGGCAAGACGCCTACGCGTGGGCAAAGCAAGAAGAGGCCCGTGGCAGCGCCTCCGCTGTCGGGCAACAGATACTGCGTCACCTGGCCATCAGTGCCACCGCTCGACATCGACATACCGATTGCAGCGACGAAGAGCGTTTGCCGCTTCCGCCTGAGCTGTTGGTGGAGATCTGTCAATCCCTGGACTCCATCGGACGCTTTTTCGTTGTCGTCGCGTCTGCGCACTGTGGAACACTCTTCTCACTACTGACGCTTACTTCCGCGATGTACGCGTGTCCGGCACGGATGCGGACTATGGGGATGTGGCCAGGGCCGTCTGTGTGGACGATCCGTACTGGGCGGCGGCTGGCCTGCTCAAATGTCTCCGCAGCACCGCCCAGAAGGCCGTTGTCACGAAGATGACTTTCTCCAAACGCATAGAGCTCTCCGGCCTCATCCGTCACATCCTCAAGCCCAACCGCATTCGGACGCTGGTGCTGCATGACTGTTGTTTCGGCGCTGGAATGAATGCGGTGGAGGTTATGGGCGGCATGATGGATTTGGTCGCTGGGGGCGTTGCTTCATGTCGCTGGGGGCGTTGCTTCATGGGAAAGCGTGATATTCAAGGATTGTCGTATCTGCAATGAACGTGTGCGCTCGCAGCGCTTATTCAGCGCCCCGTCGCGACGGGAGGCCGAGGTGCGGATGTTTGATTTCTTCAAAGACACACTGCAACGTCTCAAGAATCCGCGGGATCCGCAGCGGCACGCGCGCGCTGGATTCCAGCCATAGTAGTACAGGCGCTGGGCACTAGCGGAACGAGGCGTTGTTGTTTAAAAAATATGTAAGTATCTCTAGGTTTCTCCTTGTGAGTTTACACCGCATCGGTGAAAGTTGATGAGCTCATGTCAAGGTTGAACGCCGGTAATTGCAGGCTCTTAAAACCCACCGAAGGACGGATCCGCGCCCAGCAACTTTGCGGATGGTGCCCATTAAATTCTAGTTGAGAAGGTCAACAAACTGGCCAGCCTCCCACTCCCACTGAAGCAGCCTTGAGCGAGGATCTGGCCCAGACGATAACATTTATTGTATCTTTCATTTGTTCGCTTGTTCCTAAATCACTAAACTGGCCGGCAGAACGGATACTAATACTGTACATACATTTAAACTTTAAACTTGTAACCGGCAAAATGATCAAACTGGTCGAAGAAGCGTAATTTATACTTAAGCGTTATCCTTTTGTTGACACATGGGAGCTGTCGTTAGCTGGAGCCTCTGCTTATTTCCTAATCGAGTTCTTTCTTTTGTTGTTATTCACCAACAGCATGCAGTTGTCCCTCTATTGAACGTTAACACATAAGTTGATATGTTTCTGTGAGCGGTCTTAATGAATCAGAACAGAATAACTTGATTAAGTAAGTACTAATCAGCAGCCGTTTGTGTTTATAAGTGTACGTCCCCATCTGTCAGGTGCAATTGACTGGTGAAGTCTGCGTCACTGGCATTCATGTGCAACCCCGTTTTAGCAGATCATCTTTATTGGGCAAAAGCCATCAATACAACAAAAAGTGTGCATACGCAGAATACTACGCAAAATGATTTACACTAAACATTGAAAAAACAACCAAAATCGTAGCGCTATAAGTCATTTTATAACGCATACTCAAAGTGCCCAAAACAGCAGCAGCATTTCCTTTTACAACAGCTAGGCTAAATATCTGCTTTAAAAATGCAGTGGAACGGGGCTCCCCTGTGGCGTCGCGAATCTTTCTGCCAACGAAACGAATAAGCTCCGCAAATGCCGGACCAAAGGTTCCAAAGATCTCGACCGCCAGGGGATAAAGAAGATATCCCATTTCTTCCACAAACGCGTACTTACGGCGTTTCCTGTCTTCGGCCAAAAGCGCAACATTGCCGGATGCACTCGCGCTTGCCCGCACGTACGATAAGGCTACTGTGTCCCAACATATATCATCCCAAACGAGCGCTTTGCCATCTACAGGTTTTGTACTAAGTATTTGTAACAAGCGTAACATATGCATATGGTCGCTGCCGACAATAATGTTTTTCCTTAATTGTTGGCTTTTATTTGATGAATCCTGTGTCTCCTGAATGCTGTTACAACAATTTTGCTCTCTTCCATTTAGAAGATGATCTTGTGGCGGCATAGTCAATCCGACGCGATTCGAAAAGTACTTAAATGCGAGGCTACCACATGCGCTTTTTAAAGGCGACTTGTCTGCATGCAGCTGGAGCGGCTGGGGAGTTAGCTGGAGCGGTTCACGGAAAAAGGATGAAAGAAACACGAATAAATATCAATAGTATTCCAGAAAAGAGACATCG